AAGTTTTTTAACTCTTCCCAGTTCTCATCAAAAAGCGTTATCATGGGTTATTCAAATAAAGATATGTCTTTAATCATTCAATTTTATTACAATGTCACTGGTTGGGGGGGGTAATATATGAAACATTATATAGCAACAGTAGAATCTTAGTCCATTCTACTTTTAGAAAGTAAAAACATTGGTGTCTTAATATCTTGATTCCCTACAACTTAATAGGCAGATGAGAAACTGTATGTCCAATTAATTCTTGATCTTCAATATAAATTCAGCACTGCTCCTTGAAGAATCAGTCACCTATTTGTTCCTGTCCCCCCATATGCTGCTCCCTCCTTTGTGCCAGCTTAAGTGTTCATTCATGTTTTCAGTAAACCATCTTAAGGATTTAATACTTCACGAATCATCCTAACAAAAAAACCCCAACCAACAACACCAAAGAAAGCAAACCAAAACCATCCCTTTGTTCCTGATCTGGTCCTCTGAATACCTATATGAAAGCTGCCATTATTAATGGAGGGCAGTACATTGTGGTAGCATCCAGGTGCATGAGATGGGAAAGACCTCCTAGCTCTGTGTCAGTGTCTATTTTTGTCTGGCTTAAACTGCTCATGAAACTAGTGTTGGTTTTCACAAAAATCTCAGTTGTCCTATGCAGGTACATATTTAGGTCCCTGAGTATGCATACAGTTCGACACTCAGGAAATTTGAAAAATTCAGTCTTCAAATAATTAATTGCTGTTTAAATCTGGCTTCAAATAATTTTTCTTAGTCATTTTCCTAATGTGCCATCACTGAAAAATCTAAGAATGCAACCTGATACAATGGTTTTAAATGCCCACAAGTCAATGAAAGAAATATGGTCTTTCTCTTTTTTTTTGCTTAATGGCTTGCATCTTTTATGTTGTCACATAGTTCAATGGCATAAAATTACAATAAATTAGTTTTGCAATTATCAAACTCTTCAATTTCTTTTTGACATTTAACGAACCTCAGAAGCTGCTTATTGCTTCATATACTTTGCCATCATGAATATTAGCCTTTAATTAACTGGTACTCTAATCTTAATCTTTCTAGCTATGTTGCAACGAAATACTTTTGTTAGATTGAAGAAGATAGTATTTGTTACTGTTTCTCCAATAAATGGAATACTTTCAGAATGACCTTTTTAAGTCAATAATTATAACAATATAAAATGTAAGAAGACAAAATTCATTATCACAAGGATAAGTATTGTGTGCCTTCTTTTTGTATATTTTACTTAGCAACATAAAAACACAGAGCAGCCTCAGCTGAGAGAGACCTCTGGAGATCATCTTGTCAATCCTTCTGTTGAAAGCTGGGTCCTAGATTTGTTTTTTTCAGGTACCTGACAAGACAAATCTTGAATATTTTCAGGGAGATTCCACCACTTCTCTGGGCAACCTATTCCAGTGTTTAATATTTCTGAGAGAGAAGAACTTTTTTCTTGTATCCAGACACAATTTCCCTTGAAGGAATTTGCACCTGTGTTCCCTCTTGTCCTGTGCATCATTCTGAAAAGAATACCTCTATCTTCTCTATAAATATGTGCTAGGAATTAGAAGACTCTGATTAGATCCTCCACTGAGCCTTCTCTTCTCTGGGCTGAAGACCTATGGTTTCTTGAACCTCCTGCCGTGATGTCCAGAAACTCTAATGTTCTTCATGGTCCTCTGCTAGACCCTCTGCCTTTTTCTTCAATTTTGCCATGAACTGGGAGGATCAGAACTGAACACAATATTCCAGGTGTGTCTTAGCAAATGTCAAGTAGAGTGGAACTTGAACTGCTGACTATACCCTTACTGATGCAACACAGGGCTCATTCTGCCTTCGTTGCTACAAAGGCACTGCTCACTCAAGTTTAGTGCTGTCCATGAGAATCCCCAGGTCCTTTCCAGCAAAGCTACACCCCAGCTAGTCAGATCCCACTCATCTTGTACTGCTGCTTGGGATTATTCTGTCTCATGTGTAGCACATTACATTGATGCAATTCCTGTTGGCTCGTCCTTCTAATTTGTGAAGGCCTCTCTGTGTGGTGGCTATTCCTTCTGGTGTATAGTACTTCTCCTCCCAATTTGGTATGATCCACTAACTTGGTAAGCAGGCCTTCAGTTCTGTCATCCATATGCTTTATTAAAGACATTGAACAGTATCAGACCCAATGCCAGCTTCTCTCTTTGTGACCAGCTACCCATGAGGCACTAAAAGCATATTAGCCTTATCCTAAAAGTTCAAGGCATAACATTTCTGTAAGATTCTGAAAAGCATAGTTTATGTAAGCAGCTTGGTAAATCAGATTATTTCAACTGTCACTAGGATCAGTAGGTGTTATCCCTCTGATTTCTACATTTTTTCCCTGAAATTATGAACCAGATGTGTCACATTGCAGCTAGGAAGGTCCTAATGTGTTGTACATGGAGAAATGCTAAATCTGCATGAGGAAAAGAGCTATTAATAATGGTCATTTCAGCTGTTAGGAAAGACTGTTCAACAGTTTGCTGTGAGAAACTTACCTGCTGTAGGAAAAGCAAGAAAGAGGTAATGTTGACTTTGTTTCCTGGAGAACTTGACTGGCCTAAAGATTTTGAGACAGCTTCTCACTGTGGATATTCTGTTCCAGAATTTAATTGTTGCTCTTTTTTTATAGCAATTACTCTGAATCTGTGACTGGCATTCTTGCATTCTAATAGTCTGCAAACAGAAAACAAAAAGAAGTCTGGTCTTAAAAAGCCCTACTTAAAATCTAGGTATAGGAAAACAAATTCTGTACCCTCACTCATTATCCTCTTCTGAACCACTTCTAATTCTACCATATCTTTTTTTTTTGAGGTGGCATATCAGAGTGGGCATACTATTTAAGGGACAAATAAACAGATTTGTAATCAATTTTTGAAAGACTTTGTGTATATAATAGAGGAATATTAGAGGAATAATAGAGGAATGAATTTGATAACCAAGATCCTTTTAGTCCTTCTAGTTTCTTTGTTCCTGAATAAAGAAGAGGAAGAAGTCGAATTAACACCAACATATTTTCTAGAAAATTTGTAAAAGTACAGTAGAAAAAGGTTCATGAGTTGGGAAGAAGAAAATGTTTGGTTTCAAATAAGATGCAGTTTGGGATTGCATTAGCTACCTCTACTGATGATAGTCTCCAAGAAATAATTAAGATTGTATCTCATGTAATCAAGACAACATATTGTTTATCAATAACTTCAGTTAAAATTTAATATAACAGTGACCCCTAATATTTTACAGAAAATAACGTTGTAAAGGACATGTGAAGGTCCTGTGTGTGAAAAATATACAAGAAGATCATAGATGCTTTTCTAGTGGCCTTAAATAAGCAGTGACTCATAGACTTGCCTGAAATGAAAAAAAAAAAAAAAAAGACAAGTGAACGTACTTATACTAGTGCCACTGAACAAATTATTCCTCTGCAGTAAAGTGTAGATTTATTTACATTGGTTAGAAATGCTTTTCTTGGAGTATTACTCTCAACTGCTGCAGATGTGTTTACTAAGCAAAGTTACCGCTATGCATATCAAATCTATTTTCACTAGACATGGTCTATCTGTGACAGCAATATGCAACAATGAGTCACGGTTTAGTAGCTGTAGTTTAAGCAATTTGTAGCAAACTACAGTATAGGCATATCACTAGTGGACCCCTCTACCTCAGCCAATGGAAAATGATGTCAAAATACTTTGGAGGAAAAAAGTGCCAAGTCAGATTTAGGTCTGTACTTAGCACAGCTAAATTACAGAGTAGCGCAAATGAAGGAAAGGGTGTTACATGTTTGCATTGTGTTCACTGGAAAGCTGAATGTCTGTACTGCTAGACACTAACAGAAGCGTCACTTGCAGACATAGCGACAAACAGAACAATACAAAATACTGGATATAATTTATGATCCTTGAAGCTCTCACCTCTCTTTGAAAATGACACTTTCTATGTTATAAAAGGTAGCAAGTCATAAAGGTATTTTTGAAAAAAGAGATAAGCAGAGAATTGTAGGAAGTTCTTATCCCAGATGTATGGCTATTAAAAGAAAGGCAAGAGTTTCTCAGGGAAAAATCACTTGTCAAGGACATAAAAGATTAGATTAGCTCTCTTAGTCTCTTTTAGCATTTGAGATTAGCTTTGTTAATTAGCTTAAACAATAGATTTCTTATAAGTACTTGAAATTCTATTATCGTAGTGCCAATTGTTAGTTGCTGTTACTACTATGTTTAACTGAGAAGAAAATTCCAGCGTGAGCATTTTGGAATTGGACTGTCATTCAGGCACTCAGACTATGCAGTATGCTGACCAGCAATAACTCAGACAAGGAACTGGGCAGAACTGAATCAAATTTTTCCTCCAAGGCAACACAGGCAGAGAGGAGAGGTCTGAAAGAAGACTTTCCTTCATTTCTTCCACTACTTCAGCCATCAGTACTGAAGGACTGGAAGTCATATGAAAGCCAGATCCATAGCACTTGAGGAAAGGATATGGTGAAGGAGATTAGGTAATGGCCAGAGGAAGACAATGGAAGGTGAGGACAGTTATATTAAATGGAAATCAAGTCAAATGACTTCTATAAAGAAACAAATAGGAAAATACTTGTCAAGGAGAAATGCTTAGTTTTCCAAGAACTTCGACTACATAGTGTGAATATGTTCTTGGTGTTTTATTCTTGCTTAAAAATTCTGTGGTAATGGAGATAGCTACATCAAAATATAAATAGTTTTTATGGGACAATCTGAAAGTAGAAACAAAAAAAAAAGCAGTTAACAAAACCTGTAGATCATTGCCAAACTGTACTTTCAAAAAAGTGAAGAATAGCATGTTAAGAAGAAAGCAAACTTAATTTGGGAGTTCAATGTCATTCTTCTTTCTCATCTGTTTCTATTTTCAGCCATATAAATTAGGCTTTTTCTAAAAATATATTACCAATGAACTATGTTTTTTTTGTGTTTTGTTTTCTTTGGTTTTGTTTTATTAAGGTAAGAGGGCCCCCACTTGCAGGAGCATTTAAAGAAAGACCAACAAAGCCCACAGCATTTCGAAAGTTTTATGAGCGAGGAGACTTCCCAATTGCCCTTGAGCATGATACTAAAGGAAACAAAATCGCCTGGAAGGTAAGTCATGGCACAGCTGTGACAGCCAGCTGAGCTTATTGAAGTGACATCCCTCATTGTCAAAGTTGGCTTATAAGTAAGTAAACTGAAATAATTTCTTAGCAAATAGAAGATGGTGGGGAAGCTGTTAGAGAAAGGCTCCTAAGTCAGCTGTCTACCTTGGATAACAATTAAATTATATGCTGCAAAAAGGAAGATGACAGAGTTGCTATGCCTTAGAGAATTGTCTCCTGCCCAATTCATCTCTATTTTTATGAGAACCTGGCAATGCAGCCTGTTTCAGGCAGTCCATCAAATAATGGAAGTGGCTGGATACAGTGAGCAGTGGCCATTTATCTCCCCCAAATTTCACCTTCCTGCAGGACACTTCCAAATAGAAGCTTTAATTACCTAAATGGATAGGTCAAGATTGCCTGCTCCCTGAAAATGCAGAGCAGAATACAAACGAAGGCAGATTCTCATTCCACAGCTGTACTCTCAGTCTACAGCATATGTCAGACAGCGTAATCGCTGTCATACGTGCCCCTGTTAGAGGATGACCTCCACTGCTGAAACCATTACAGCTCTGACATTTCTCTGACAAAAGGTTAATTGGCTTCAAAATAAATGTATTGCCTAATGACTCCATTCTAATGCGACTGTGTTTCTCTCTAAAAGGCTTGGTGATGTTATTTGTAAAACTTGCCAATCTTCTAAGTAACTACCGCAGACTTTTAAATTTAATTTGAAAAATGAATGCTGACCTTTAACCTGCTCCTGCTATTTAATTATTTTGGTTATCATGAATTACTTTATTGCTTTGTGTTATTTATTGGACTAGAATAAGATTTTGCTGGAAACAGTGATAGTTACAGAAAATGAACATGATATGCATGAGCAAAATATGTCAGCTTTGTAGAATGTTATAAATTGTTCATGTCAAGAACATGATACCAATTTTAAATGTATAGCTATGTTTATTCAGCACAAAAAGGAGGGATTTTGCAATCTTATAGTTGATTCTACTGCTAATGAAGCCAACAGGATTAGACCTATAGTGCGGTAAGTAGTGCTATATGGTTTGTAGTAACTAGATATTAAGGTAGCTTTTTTGCCTATTAAAGTGTAGAAGAGAGATTTGTGCTACTATTTTGTTGCCCGTAGCAGTGTTGAATCAGCAGAAGGAACAATTGATAGTTCTTGCAGCAAAGGGAATCTCTATCCAGCAAGACTTTACCCATGATCAGAATGAGATTCCAGTGCAACTGGCCTTTAGGTGACTCTAGAAGTGTCCTTTCTGGACTAAAACGCACAGACTTACAACATAAGTCTGCATTCTAATCTTTCGTCACCAGGTAAGACTCAAAGGTGATTTTCAAGGAACTGCAAAAAACTGCAGGATTTATTTTTTGGCTTGAAGCATTATAACTTCCAATTTCTCAAAGTCAGACTGAAATGTACAGACAATTTGCCTCATTTTAATTGCTATTTGATGCATACACTTCCGTCATAAGGACTAGTATTCCACTAGATGATGCTAGTGACTGCTTAGTTGACTTAGGACACAAGGAAACAGAATGAAGCTGTTTCAGGGAAAGTTCAGATGGGACATTGGGAAAAGGTTCTTCACTGAGATGGTGGTTGGTCACTGGAACAGGCTCCCCGGGGAAGTAGTCACAGCACCAAGCCTGTCAGAGTTCAAGGAGCATCTGGACGACACTCTTAGTCATATGATTTAGTTTCAGATAGTCCTACAAGGACCAGGGAGTTGGACTCAATGATCCTTATGAGTCCCTTCCAATTTGAGATATTCATTGATTTATAACGTCTTTCTAACTTGCTGTCTACAAGTCTTCCAACCACAGCCGAATGTCTAGAGTAAGTGTTTGCTCCCTGTATCTGACAGTTTGAATTGTTTGAAAACATATGACCTTAAGACAGTCACAATGGCAGTCTCTAGTCAAAGATCCAGCACATATATTTTCTTAACACAGTTTGCAATCTTATAGACCAAATGTCTCCCTCGTGTCCACCTACCACGGTAAAACATTGACATGTAGCTAGTGTAATGTAGGACTGAGTTGTCATGCAACAATTGCTTTTGCTATTGCTGTTAATCCTTTCTTTCGAAACAAATTATCACTACTTCAGCATGCATGCAAGAAGGCAGCATAGTAGCGGACTATTCCATTCTTATATTAGTGCATGACAGGGTCCAACCTTATTTCCCTTATACTATACCACTTGATTTAGTCACAAATCAATCCAGACTGAGCTCTGTAGCAGGCACTCAAGAAAAAAATACTGAGGTAGTAGAATTACTTGAGGCTGTTGTTTAATTTGGCATGCAACCATCATTGATTATTGTGCAGTTTAAGTAGATGAAGCAGGCAAATAGGAGTTTTCTAGTTCAAACTTTACATGAGATAGCTTCTAAAGTCTTAGATACTGCCCATTGCTGCAAAAGGGTGAGAATGTTGTTCATCATTAGCTAATATTTAAACGTGCAGATAAAGTAAGGTCTGTATTTTTCACTTGTTTTAAGGACATGTGAATAGTCAAAATATCCAACATATATCTGATGGCTAATTTTTATCAGTTCACCTTACTTAGTTGTAAATCTCATTAAATAAGTATTTTTTTAGAAAGATATTTTAGTCAATACTGCTTAGATTCATGAAAATGAAAAAAAAATTTAATAATGAAATGTGTCTAGGCAAAATTTTCTAAAAAATCTTGGCTGAACTATATTTATTTGCATGAATCATAATTATAGTGGAAGGATAAAAAGAATAAATAAATGGTAACCGTGATATCTTAATCCTGCTATAATTGCACAATATCAATGTTTTCTTATGAGAGGGATTTTTTTCTCTGTTCAGATGTAATGTATATCATGGTTCATTTCACTCTTGTTAGTTTGTCTACCAAGTGGTGCATGAGAAAATGCAGGGGGGGGGTATCAGAAACATGATTTGTTCTGACAAAGGAAAATACTACAGGACTGTGTTCTTTCTGGCAAAATACACAGTTGTATTTGTTTGTTTGTTTATTTTTATAATTACTGAAACAAAACAAAATAACCACAATTGTCAGACATTAAATATTTTTTTGAAAACACTTAGAACTCTTGTTCACTGTATTGTAATTCTGTGGACAGAATACAGACACTTTCAGCTAGAACGGAATAATCTGAAATGTTTTAATATCCATGAATTGTGTTAATATGTACCAAAAAATATGCACAAATGACCTTTGATTTTGTAACGGTTCTGCATATCCCTAATTTTAAGCCCATGATTACTTTTCTGTAAGGGCTGCCTACATATAACTATGGTTGTAGACCTAGATAAGATATAAATTCAAAGTTCAGGAACTATTCAGAACTATTTCTGAATAACTGCATGTGTTGAATGTTTAATTCTGAAATAATAGTACCTTTTTGTTGTTGTTGTTCAGCTTAATTATTTCCAAAATGGCTAAATTTAGAAAGAGGCATTCTTACGCCAAATCAATCCTAAGCGCAGATGAGATTAAACTGTGCAGATAAACCATGATGTTTACTTTGGTGCCTTTTCTTAAAAAAGGTACCAAAGCAAATTAGATTTCACTACAAGATCGTTATATAGAGATGTGTTTTCTATGTGAATTCTCAGACTAAGTCTTTAAGTTTAGACAGGCATCTCTTTGAATACTCCTGTGATATTGGCATTCTGCTTGGTAGGTTTTACTATTATTTCAACTTCCAATAACCCTGTTTCAACCTAATGGAAGAAAACAAATGAAAACAGATAAAATGTGTTTACAACATATAAATCATTATATACAAGAACAGGAAACTGAACCTGGTTTTAAAGAATACCATCCAGAGGGGGGAAAAAAAAAAAGGCATTAAAAAAGCTCTGATAATACCAAACTAAAATTATCTGGTGTTAGAGGCTGTAATTCTGTTTATTTCTAAAAGAAGACATGACTGTCGGTGTTCCTAATATTTGTTTTCAAAACTGGAGAAAAGTTGTCCTTTTGTCATTTTCAAAAGATGAATATAGAGAATGACTTGTTAATTATGTCTGTGAAAAGAAACCCTCCATCTTTGTAACTCACTACACAAATTTCTGGGTTTAATTACAATTAAAGTGAAAGGATCCATACAAAATTAATTCAAGACTTCTTATCCCCATTCAGGGGATCTATAGCAATCAGGGAATTCTTTGCTAAATGGCATACACTCGATGTAATGTTTTAATATCTAATTTAAATCCTTTGTTTGTTTTCATGCTCTCTCAGTGGTCATTAAATAGAACTGTATGGATATTAATGCCTTAAAATTGCTGCAAATATGCAATACTCATATTTTTTGAGAAAGCAGTAGCTTTTGAGATCTAGAAATAAACAACAATTTTGGTTGAATCATTCAACAAATGTTCAAGGGTCTTTCCAAATTTGAAGCATTTGGTTTTGTCCACTAACAGAGAATGAATAATAATGGTATGGTTTGAAAATATGTTTCTGATGTGTATCAAACATAAAAATTTGGAACATAAGCTGTTGTTAATTTAGAGTTAGATAATAGTAGAAAATGATCTTTTTAGAAAAATAATTTGTTAAGATATTTATAAGCCCTTTGACTACTTTTGTGGGATCCTGCGGTTCTCTTTTAGCCTGTGTATATCACAATTTTATTTCAAAATGTAGTAATACATTCTTTTGCACAATCTCATACCAAGCTACAAATAATGAAAGCTCATGGCTCAGGTCTGAAGAGAACTTCCATTTTTAAATATACATTACTGGATTAAAAAAGGTCAGAATGCAATTAAACCTTTGACTAGGAAAATGGATAAAACCAAGAAAGTATTTCTGAATTATTAAGAATGTGTTTGAAATGCAGTCTCTCTGTACCGTACAGAAAGTCATCAGAATGTTTGAAAAATTATTTTTTTAAGGAGTGGGGTTAATTATGAAAGTCATTATGCAGGGGGAAAAAAAAGCATCTATTCTTCAAAAGAATTTTAGCACTT